TCGAACCAGTTGCTTTTGAGTTGTAAGCGCATTTTGAAGGATAAAAAGATCTAAAAAGGATAATTGTTAAGCTGTAAAATCTTTTCCGTGCCTGGCTGCCATGCAACCCGAAGGAAACACGATGGCTTTGATACTGCCAAGTCGCCCAAACAAAGATAGGAGGAGCCGAGATGCGAAGGAATAATATTAGTGAGCAGTTTATGATCCTCGGTGGTGAGAGGCGGCCATTTGCATTCCGTTCTCTGTGTCTGTGTTTTAGGCATGGGTTTCATTCATGGGTACCTATCTTGCTCAGGCATGCATTCTGAAAAATCTTATAAGGCAAAGGACTTTGATGAAATTTCGCCTTGAATCAAGGCTGCTGATCAAACGTGTATGTTGTTTCCATGGCGAGAGTCAGTCAAAGCATAAAGGCTGACTCGTGAATATAGGCTGTAGGCCTGTGATGTTAGTGTGTTAACATCGGTGCGCTTCTTCGCAACTCGTTCAATCAGAAAAAAAATCGCCAACCGGGATGCCTCCTTATCATCCACGAACCATCATCACTTACAAATATTTTACAAAAGCTAAAGTTAACGATAGCAGTAAACCTTGTTTAGCTAAATGGTTGTTCACGGTCTCAGTGTCAGAAATATCGGCTTTCTGAAAATAGTCCTAAAACGTCCGAAACTTACTGGGAACTGCCAATTCCACGAAAATCGCTTCAGGAAGGTTGCTGACTCTATAGGTTAGAAAAGCAGTTATTGATTGAACGTCAAAGCGATCAGTCATCGACCGCTGACGACGCTCTGGTGCCTAGGCCTGGCCCAGAAGTGATGCTCGTTCATCAAACAACCTCAAATGCACAGGCTTGATTAGGAATGCGTATTAGATACTGCGATGCGCCCTGCAACTTTAGACGGGTTTGTTGGCAATAAAGCTGTTGTGTTCTTGTTACCTGAGTCATCTCAGAAAGACTTCTTTTGACGTCTAGATCCCAGAGGTGGTGCTCCAAAATTACAGGCACACTAGTTCACTTATCGACAGTGAAGATGTTCCATTTTGTGTTTGTCAAAAACATTCTTTTAAGGTGAAGAGTTACTGGGGTCGAAAAAAGGTTTCATGTTTGGTTGAACCAGACCTTACGAATTGACACTAAACGGGATCACGGTGTCGTTTTTACAGCTGTGTGGATTTGTACTAGAGGATGAAAATTTTAATCATCCCGTCACCGGAAATAATAGGCCGTGAGAGCTGAGCCTTTTCAACCGGCTTACAAAATGGTGTTGAGTTGCTAAACTCTCCTAGAAGGAATTATTGGCTTACTACTTTGACATGCCTCCCTTGAGGAGGCAACCGTGCAAACCTACTCAGTTTTGAATCACGGCCTTACGTTGTTTGGCCGTATATATTCTATCTAGGTGTAGTATGCCTGGCTGAGGTAGGCATAAATGATACCACAGATATAACAGAATCTGTCCCAACAACACAACAATGTCGAAGACACCTGCTTATTTTCTGGACAACAGCAGTGACCTCGGAGAACCGTGACCCTCATGTAGAAGAACACCTGATCCCCTTTCGACGTTGTTGTCCCAATATTCGAAAGCTTTCATGAAACAGGAATATCTTTGGTCACCAATCAAGGTTAATTCATCAGCTTCTCCTGAATTCAACTAAACTAATCATGAAAGCCGTTTCCAATACTCACCACTTTACTGGAAGTCTGATCAATACCTGTAGAAACAACGTGTAAAGCAAGCGATTTATGACCTCTCAAATCAATGCTTCCTAGCTTTCTGATCAATATCGTTACATATTACACTCGCTGCCTGAGAGGTCCAAAGGAGGCGAAACACACCATCATATATAATGAGGTGGAACGTCGTAGAGAGACCCTTTCAAGGACGATTTACTTTGTTTCAATACGAGCATTCTTGCAACCCTCCCCCCGAAAAGAAAATGCACCTAGGAGGGGCTTTAGTGGGTGGGTAAACACTGATGAATACCACGCTTAAGTCTGTTCAGTGAAACCTGAGACACGAAAGCTTGGAAGTGTGAAGTTTGTTCTAACACAGAAATTTAAAAAAACAACTTCCTTCGGAACTCACAGTAGATTCCACATAAATTTTCTTCTAATATGACTTTTAGGACAATGTTCACATTGGAACGTTACTTCAAACTAAAATATTCTGTTAGCGCATTATAAACCAGAGCATTCTCTGTTAGTTCTTTCCTACTCCGGTAAGAAGCAATGTAATCACGACTGTTTCACGGGCAGAATATCTTTTTCATCATGTCTACCTAGTGAACAAACTTTGAATATAGTGAAAGATATGACATAGTGTTTGTTAACAAACAGGTCTTTTGGCAACCAACAGGGTAAGACTACCTCGGTCTGTGTACACAGTCCCACCAGCCACAATCCATTGCTCCGGTCCTTAAGAGAAAACGCTGATACACGGCATCCTGATGCCAGTCTGTACAGTGTGCCCGAAACTCCGATAAGCATTCCGATAGAGTGAAAGTCCATGTTGCTTGATCAAAAACATATGCGAAGTTAAGCACCCACCTTTTACTATTTAACGTTTACTCCCCATCCCGTCAGTTTCCCATCACCCCCTTGAGAAAATCCTGGTCTCAAGTTCTTTCTCTTGTTGTTGCCATATGCTTTGTGAGCACTTCTGAAATTCTCGCAAGCGTGCATTAGAAATTTGATCTGAGAAACAACTGTGGGTCCTGAAACGCTAAAGAGTCTACGAAGCGCTACAAATCAGCATAAATAACTGTATTTGCTTTAAAAGCAGGCTGTCTCAGGGCAAGACATACTACTCACTTTCCGCAGTGTTTGCCCTTCGGAAGTGATTAAATTTTCCCTCCCTTATGCAATCGGCAAAAATGTATTCTTGCATTTCATTTGTTTCCCTTACTGCTAACGCAAGTACTACGACGTCCCTACACTGCAACGAGCTGTTTCCAATTGATCACTTAGTTGCCAGCAACTGGCGATGTTTTAGCGGCAGATACTGTTGACCACAGGATGGATACTTGGTGGATGAATCACAAAAACCTCTAGGATCAGTCGAATTGTGCTGTCGAGTACAAATTCACGTAGTAAGGTAAATCATATACGTTACCAAAGTACACGGCTGAAGTAGACCACTATTCCACTGAATATTTTTGTCGGTCGAACACTATGGATAAGGTGTCTGAAAACTCTTCAACAGCCCACAACCGGTTTCATCCTTGGAGCTCATGAGATGAGCGAAGTACCCTAGTTTCGGCCAAACTTATATTTTACTTAAACGCCGTTAAGCATCTACACAAACACCTACTGATGAGGTCATATCGCAACACCATAAGGACATTGAAGCACGTTCATCTAGCCCCAGACCACAGGTCTGAGATCCATTCAAGTCGATGATTGACAGTCTTCCTTTCCGTAATTATGTGCTCAAACTAAGCGTCAGCCGATTTACATTACTCTAGTGCCTGGATTCATCCAGGATTGGGGATCAGAGTCTCCCGAATGCAGCTGGACTCAGGTAGTTAACGCGTTCTCTGTTACCTAGGCAAAAGCAAATTGCATTTGCAATCATAACTGCAAATAGGTGCAGTTCTTTCTCCTGCACTTTACTGTGACGTTGGGCACCAACCAACTAAAGCTACCTGACAAGTGGCACTCAATTTTAAACAGACCGGATAGCTCATTGTGGAAGTGATAAATCCTAATGTTGCATTCCTCAATTTTTTCTACTTATTTAGTAGACGAACGGACGAAATAACACTTTTTTACGTGCTCACATTTGTTATCACATGTTTTGACTTAGTTAGCCTGAACTGCTAAGAAGGTAAGTAGTGAACGGTGTGCTTAACGGAAGTGACGCGGTGCTGTTTTCCGAAGATTGGGTATTTATAAAGTTCTTCAAACATTGAACCAAACCAATTAGCGTTTCTTGGAAATTTTTCTTCAATCAGGTTGGGTTAAGTAGGTAGTTAGTTTGGTCTTATTGCGCCAGTGCAGTGATATCCGTTTCTTCCAAAGCGGATAAACAGATTTCGCTCCCACTACCAACCCTTTAAATCACCTCTGATTGATTCAAGACACTCCGATCAATCACCATATTTGCTGAGATCCGTCCCGTTTGAAATCCGTATGAAGACTCATTGATTATGCATGCGATGTCTACTGATGTATCGGTGTGGCATTTCCATGCCCTTTGTCCGGTCGTGCGAGCGCGGCCTCTCTTAAAGCAGGGACAATCATACGGCGATGATCTCTTCAGGAGCAGCATCAGCAGAAGAGCTGCAGGGCGCGATACGATTGACTCACATTTTAAGACTAGAACGAATATAGGCCACCACACAACAGAACTAACGGTCACGCATAAGACTAAGCGGGGAAAATCCACTTATAGGAGCGCGCAGGACTGCCTCATTACGAATGCGCAAACCGCAACAATTGTGCGCCGTAGCTAATGGTGACCGTGGGCGCTACTCGCGTATGCGCGCAACACCGTGAATCTCATTTGTGCGCCATGATGTTCGCTCCCCGCCTCGGTCCAACTGTAGAGAAGCATCAGGGAGGATGACGTCCCCAATCTAGTGTGCCAGCTCCATGGTTGATAAATTACAAGAGTTTATTTGTCCAATCACACAAATGTGTGCAAACTGGATGCACAGGATATGAGAGGGGAACAGTTAACGGTTAGGCACACGCACAATCACATACTGTCTTTCTCAGTCCTGCAGCACCCAAGAATCGGCGGGCGATTCCGGTAACGGAGATGGATTGTGTGTGTGGGGAGGGGGGGTTGAGCGACTAGGGTTAATGTCCGGCTGTTATTCAATATAAACCAGATACGTTGAAAGCATCCCGGTGCCCATGGTTACGAGGCGCGTAGCTAAGGCCAACGGACTGTGTAAAGAAGTTCGAGTTCTCGCGCATATATTCCGAGGATCAGGAGCACCGAAAGTCAACGGGAAATCTTTTGCCGTTATTGTCGCTGATCCAAGTAGTCATGCACGAGACGCTATTACCACATTTAGTTGTCCCCTGTGATCCTCCCGTCGGTCATGCTCCTATTTGCAAGATTCACACAGATCTTCCGAATTCAGCCGAAAAGTGAGTTCTTCGTCAGTAGTGAAACACTACAATTTTCAACATATATGCCTTCTAGAAACGATAACTGCTTTAGTAACTAATACCTATTTCCAAACCCATATATGAGCTCATAAAATGTCGCACTTAAATGTGGAGGCACTTCGTTTTTGAGAAGACGGCAGTAAAAGTGCCCGTAATTTCCTTCACCGGATTGAAGCAAACTACCATGGAGCCCCAAAATAAGGGATAGCTTTTAGAGCCATCAGATAATAGTCAGTAATTTTAATCCAGGCCAGTTTGATGTGATAACACGCGAAGACACAAATAGATCTACTGAGCTTTCAGTGAATCGGTCCAAGGCGTTTTTAACTTGAAGAATTTCTGAACAGGTTGAATCCGTGACACGTTGGGTGTACTTTCTTCTCACTGGTGCATCTGACTGCGAACTTGCTGATTCAGTATGTTGAAAACGTTTCATCACGAGAACTCTGTTTGATGTCATTCGGAAGTTTAGGTTAAGTTCTTTTCCACTGTGCACATTACTAGGTGAGATACCTAGGTTGCGAGTCGAACCCTTTGTTTCTAATGAGCCACTGTTTCTATTTGTTCTATTTGCTTCTTCACGTGATACTTGACAGCTAAATTTTAGGATGGCTTCGACCTTTACAATGTGGGCATTTCTACACACGATGTAGATACGACCCCTTTAACTTCTTGACCCCACTAGCTGCAACTCAACAAGTGTTCCGGAAATTCCAGTGTGCTTCTACAACGAACACAAAAAGCTGATGGTAGCCCTCCGTACTCTATCCCATCTAGTGAACTGCTTCGCGCCGCACTTGTCTGAAGGTATGCGACTTCGGTCTTCTTAACAAGGTGCTCACGAATGTGGTACCCGTTAACTTACAGCTCCTTCGCAGTGCTGTTTATTGGAAGAAAACTTGTTCAGATTTAAACAACTCGCCATCTTTTAAAGAAGGTTTATTTTGTCCCCATGCATGGTGGGTGGTCGAACTGACGATGCTTTTGATTCCGGTTTTGCCTACAATAGTTCTTTAACACACCAAAAGATGTTTGCACATTAAGTGCCCCGTCACGTTATGGATCCCCTAATAAAAAGGCCCTTAAGACTTAGAACAGCATGTAGTTCCGGTTTCGACGAAAGCAGTTTTTTTTCACTCAAAAGAGTTAAGACAAGCCATGGTAACAGGACTTCATGAGCCTGCTCTGGTGTGGAATTGGTAACGCGGAGATATCAGGCTTTAGTTCAAGTGATGGCCGATTACGGAAGTAAGGCTTAATGCGACTGCCTGATAACAGCAGCCAGGAAAAAGAGTTCGGTAGACTACGTGATCAGCACACACCAATGTTGTTCGGCTATAAAATTTGTTTTTGAAATATGACATTGTGGCGATGAGATAACGAACATTAAACAGGACAAGTGACGGGAGTCATTTCTTAAGACAGTGAAAAACGCCACGTCCCTTAGCTAATGAAGTTTCAGCCTCGTCCTGTGCACAAGGATGTGCGAGAATGGGTTCATGCGGAACGTTGAAATGTCTCCCAGCGAGGAGTATTTCACTTTGAGGAGTTCGCTACTGACCGCATGCAAAAACTATCGGCGGTCAGATGTGCCTGGAAATTGAACACAACAAAACTAGCGTTAGCGCAACAGATCCAATTTTCAGTTTGGTTTACTTAACCTGGGTTGACTGAGTGACCCCAATTCAGCATCTCTACAACCTCAGAGTCTGAAAATAAATGGTAATAAACCTATGATCAAAGTTCTACTACAATTGGTGTACACAAGTGGTTTTTCCTAGCTCTCAGAAGGAGAAATCACCCGTAATTTTGGCGTGCCTACCATTCATCTGTGGATTTCCTAACTTGAAGCAAGTGTACTCAAGCCCGGAAAGTTATCGGACAAGTATGAACCTGCATGATCATTTTTTTCTCACCAAAAGAAGTGGCGAACAGCACACTGTTTATCTACGAAGCGTTGTTACGACAACAGGATATCACTTTATCAATATTGTGAGGTGACCTCAGTTTTCGTTCCCGAGATTATACATGGAAGATTGTCGGTCTTGTGTGTTGCCTACGGAACAGATATGCTCTAAGGATGTGCTTCTCCATAGATTCTTTTGTTCAGCTAAGCTGCTGGATCGCATAACCACCCTGGTGCTTTTACGGGGTAATGTCTGTGGAAGCGAAAGAACGATTCAAGCAGGGCAGCATTAAATCTGGTGTAAGCCGCACTGTCGATTTTTGTATGAGCGTTCGGGAGCACAAAAAATACTAGCCCCGTTGGAAATAAATGAGGTTGAAGAAGGCCATGTTTTGAAGCGCTTAAATAGCCGAAGGGAGACGCCAGAAAAATCCACCAGAGGATCTAATTGTTGAAAGCACAATTCGTGAAGGTGAAAGTGACGACAAAACGGAGACAGTTCCTATACTTATGTGGCAGCCGAAAGCATCAGGATTGGCTTGGGGAGACACCTAGTCAAAAGAAGTGCTCTTAACAACGCTGAACAAAATGCAGGCCCTCACTTAACAATGCAGAATAACCATCCCTTTCCAACCACCACTGACAATTTAGACGAAGATTCAGGTGCTTGAAATGGCAGCGCATCTACGCACGTCTGTGCGTCTATGTAATAAAAATCATGATTATTGTTGGACCATAGTCTTATTGAATTTGCCGGTCTGTAATCTGGACTTGGATCCCACCAAGAATGCTTGGAAAATCATGGGAAGACGAGCACATGAGTGCAACAGCATTTTTTCAGCAAGACTCAGAACATGAGAAGATATTTTTAAGCAGATTCGAACACCCGTTTCCACAGCGTTCTGACAGCAGAATAAGACTGCGGACGATCATGCCACATAGACCTGTTTGTGCGACACAACGATCGATCGAATCCAGTTAGCATGTTCGGCACCTGCCCGATTTCCAGCCTATGAAAAATCGGTTGCGTGTGATGGAGCGTCATTGAAACGGGAAGCTTCTAGCAAACTGTGGTGGACTGAGTGAACTCCTACTGCACCTACTAATCGTCCCACACATGACATCACGTTGAGTGTCTCTCTGTGACCCTAGGTGGATAAATCTAACACCTGCTTCTTGTCACACAATGAATCAACTAGTGATCAAACAGATGCTACGAAGTTGCTCCGAGGCGGCTTGCTTAGAGTACTGTTTTTGCCTCCACATTCATGTATAGCGTACAACGGCGAACTAACAACTGATATGCCGAAGGGAATTAGACTATTATCTTTCTAGAAAATATTGCTGGTAGGATACACTCAAGCTTACACGGTTGGCAGGGTCTTAGTTACTAGGCTGTGGAAAATATAAAACAGTTAGCCGCGTATAACCAACATTCCATCCTGCACAGTCAGTTTGGAGCCTCAAGGTGCCTTGCGCAAGTCGGTCGATTCTGTGTTTGCATTATGATCATCTTATATAGGTCGATGAGGGGAATTGTGAAGCTCGTGACAGCCTACAAGTAAGTGAACTTAGTTACATCGGTACTCTCAATTAACAGCTAGTGCTAAATATAGTGGTGCTAATCATAATTCGTTTCTAGTACAATGTGAGTGTTTGCTCTGGCTGAAGAGTTGCTGGCTTGCACAACCCCATTGAATTTTTGGAGAGCAAAATACCGACAGAAATTTGCTGCACCGTTATGTTTAGAATCCACTCCAAATGTGGTCAGCGGAAGAGCTGGAAGAGGTCATCCACCGAATTATCTGTTTAGTTTATACAAGTTGAGAGGCCCTGATATGTTACCGATTCAACCTTTCCCGAAAAAACGTGGAATTGGCTGTTTTTGCTTTTCGGTTCTTTCGATCCGTGCCGATTATCTGTCCGCCGACAGCAAATCAACTCGGAAAGTATCGCTAATATGCAGATTTCGGTCATGGCAGTCATCGTGATAATCGTTTTTTGCACGGCTCCTCGTACAGTTTTACATTCGATTTCCCCTGTCTTGTTCAGATCTGAGAAGACTATATGCCAAGCATGAATCGGCAATCACATTCGGCTTTTTCATTTTACAGCCATCACCTATTTACTCCCACTCAAGTTCCGTTTGGAGTCGAATCAATTGTCAATGTTTTATACAAGTGGCAGCCAGAAAATGGTATTTGTGACTGGAGCCGAACAATGGCCAGCAAGCCGCAAGAGGAGACTGCTCCCACAATGTTCGGTCTGTCCACAGGGAACGTGTTCACACAAGACCAAAACAACAAAAAGATCCTACAGGTATCGGGAAATGAGGTTCAGCTGCCTCCGGTTAGGAGGAATGAAAATCCCTTTGATGAGAATGGTGTTGAGAGACACGCGCTAACAAATACTGATGGTTCGGTAGCCAGTGAGTCTTCAAATCCCCCAGCACTTCCTCCATGGTGGTCCTTACTGATGGGCTATACTTCCACACTCCTCGGATCACCAACATCAACAAGTAAGTGAGTATGTTGCTAAGTGTTTTTTATGTTTGTGTTTGTTTATTTTGAAAAGATAAAGGATGCATTTTGAAGAATCGCCTGTAACCCAGACAAGCGTTTCTAAATTTATACTGTGATTTGATAGTCGTGCTGTAACTGGTTTGATCTGTAGGCTGGCCAAGTCACTTTTCAATGGCTTTACATCCAGAGAAACTTTTGTTTACCTTACAAACCGATTTCTTGAGGGAGGAACTCTGCTAAAACAGACCAACTTATCTCAGAAAGATTGCATCAGTAGCCTTCGGAAGAACTTGCCTCTCGCAAAATAGATATACGTATCTGAATCTCCTGGACCGACTTGTGTTAACTTCGTAAAATAAACTTGAGAGCATTATAGTAAGTGACCCTCTTCGTTGGATCTAAAAGTCATTTCCCCTAAAATTAATCCCTGCATCCAGTTCCCGGTTTGGAGAAGCACCTGAGTGGCCGACCAGATGGGTGAATTTGGCAGATATAGTGCCCACTGTTGCCTGAATTTTGTCATTTGTCTGTGTTCTGTTTGTCTTACCAGTAAATAATTGTTCAACTTACTCAACCAAACGCTAATCACAAGATGCGAAGACGCAGCAACAATCCAAACCCTCAAAATACCTGGATTCACTCAAACTACGACAGAATCGTATTTGAACAAAGCAGTGATAATGACAGTCGAATGCTTCGTAGGACAAAAGACCTTTGTTACTTAAAACTGTTGCCTCATATATTTCCTGTTTAGTCGCAACAAAAAGAAGAGCATTCAGGTCAGGTTCTCTACAGAAAGCTCCACGTATAAGGTTATTGAAAACTCTTCAATAACCCACTACCGGCTTTGCCCTTCTTAAAGCTCATTGAGTTGACGTAATCCACTAGTTTCCACCAAATTCATGTTTCAACCGAAAGCTAAATTTTACTCAAGGGGCAATTCACCAAGAGTAAATTGTACGGACTGATGTGTTCTGAACAGAGAAATTTGAGGACCAAAATGAACTTCGTATTTGTTTTCAAAACTGCTTAAGCATTCCACAGAATTGTTGTGCTGATGGTGATGTGAGGAGCCTTGTTCACTTCAATAGAGGTCTTGTTCTGTTAGCGAAAAAGAAGCGAAGCACTGTACAGCTGTTTCATCCTTTTTGGGAGTCATAGCAGTGCGCATCTTAAGAAAATTCGGTGGGGAACCTCGAACTCGCAACCTTCCGGCCAGTGGTTGAACACAACCTTTTGGCCAGGAGCAGCTGACCAGCAGCGTGATTGGCTGTCACTCAGACAGAACATAGCATTACTCATTTTTCAGTCGCGGAAACCACGTCACGTTGTCACGTAATGACTGACTCCCCGAGTGACGACTTCTTTGTAGGAAGTTTCATCCATCTTGTGAACTTATTCTTCCTCTGAACCTCGATCTTTGTCTGTTAGGGAGTGGCAGTTAGTGAGCAGAGGTATAAAAAAGATCTGGCTCGGCATTGTTTGGAACTCAAGTCCTAGAAAGTTTATCTACCTTTCTTTTTTGGTCATTTCACGGCTCTGCAGACTTGAATCAGTGAACTGATCATAGTTTTGAACCATTTTTCCGATTGTTTGTTTTTCTTTTATGATGAGATAGGCAACTATTGGTCATCCCGGGGATAAAAAAGTGATGCAAAAAGGGTGCTTCTCCAACGGTAGAGTTCAATTAACTACATGCTACTCCTTCGGGAGAGGTCAACTACTAGATCTTTTCGTCGTAGTCTCTGTTAAGAGATTGTTACACATTTCTGAGTCAGACTGTGTTGTTATTCTATTGGAAGGTTTTGAATTTTCATTGAGGTTCGCGGAAATATATAATGTATAACTCAAATATTCGGTCCGTGCAACACAGAACCATTCATCTTCCGTGCTAGATTCTCAGATGCCTGTTTCCGTCTTTGTCAAGGGTGTCTGCTCGCTTGTGCTACAAATGAGCCTCGACCTCATCCAACATCCCACATGTAATAGCCAACATACTTTAAAGTCACTGATACTCAATTCCCTGGAATTGCCATCTTGAGAATCAAAGAATGTTTATGTCGATCGTTTCTTATTTATTTCATGAGAATGACTTGTCATTTTCTCAACACGCTTGTTTACTCTAGTAGACAATGTACAACAGGCCCTGATGTACCTCCGTCTTTGGAACACTCTTCTTGCTCACTTTAATCCACTCGATGAACATTCTCAGACGGTACCGGGTGGTGTAGCTGAAGGAAACCCGCAATTATCAGCGGACAGAACGTCTTCTCAGCTACCCATAAGTTGGAGTGGTCAGTCCACCCCTTTGGACTTGGCTGCACCACGAAGGGAACGATTAGACACCGAGGTTCAGACTGGACACAAGACTAATATGATCACTGGACACTCTCGGTAAGCAAAGTGTAATAAACCTAAAGCATGTTATCGTTTCAGAGGTTATCTGGTGTTGTCGTCTAATGCTATAAGTATGTGATGGATTAATAAACTCTGATTACCCTCTATAAATTAGGTCAATGCCAAAGAAGGCTTTGTGCTGATGTTTACTCCTCACTTGGGGCCATTAGCAACTTGTATCCAGGAAACCCTGAAGAGCTGTCTGTTTGTATATCTTAAAAAAACTGTTGAGCTTCTGCGAGTACAGAAAATTTACACTACTTCCAAGGTTAGTGACATTTTTACAAACCAACTTGTTCTGACGCAAACGTCTGGCAAATCGCATCTATTTAGGATGTCTGTTAGTACTTCCCTAGAAGACTAAGTCAAAAGTTGATAAGGAACTATGTCTGATCCCTACTGAAGTATCGTTTGTATTCAAGAGAAAAGGTTTCACCCATAAACAAACCTTGGTTGGATCCCTTAGTGAATTTACAGTCTCATGGATTTATATGTTATTTCTACCTTTTATTCATCTTTTCAGCCCAAAAATGTTTACGGACATAGGTGGTGTTAGCATACCAGAGCTGCGTTCCAGTAGCTGTGGAACTCTGTTGGATGCCTTCAAATCCCCTTCTCAAGACACAGGTCCTGTGACCCAAGTCAGTTTGATTTCATCTTGTCCTGCAGTACAACAAAGCACTTCACTGCTCGGGAACCATCCTTCTACGCCCGGATCCACACCGCGCTCAAGTTATAAATGCTCTCATTGTGGTCGTGGGTTCAGCAAGGCGTACAATCGTACAATACACGAACGAACACATACAGACGAACGTCCTTTTAGCTGTTCTGTTTGTTCCCGCAGGTTTCGTAGAAAGGATCATCTCCGTGATCACAGGTGAGTGTTTACAAATGAATTCTGTTCGAATTCTGCTGATGGATTTGTCAGTTGGATGAACAATCAACGATCTATGTAGTTTGTGAGGCAAAATCAGGTTCTTATTCGCCCTGGGAGTCAAACTGCGTTGATTTACCAACCCTGTATACCGGGTATGAAGTATCCACTCTGTTAATACTTAGCAGCCCATAAAAGTCATCCCATTTCTCCAGAAAAGCATGGGCAACACTTTATGAATGTAGGCGATGAGATGCCTAGTTTTAAATCCCGTTTTTTTGTTAAAAGCAAGAAACAGGGGTCACTGTGTAAAAGACTGAGGGAATTCAAAAACCCAAAAAACGGCATTAAATAAAGGCCACACACATAGAACACAGAACTGGTTGTTGAGCACACAGCTTTACAACGTCACAGTGTGACATTTTGATACTTAAGTGACCAGCAGCGAATGGTCTTGAGATCGCAAATAACATTTGGGCAATGGCCATTGTCCGCATTTGAACGAATGGATGGATCACTTAAATTCGCTTCGCTAATGGCCCGCGATTGAGCACTGTTCAGGTTAAAACGTGAAGGAACGTTTAAACACGAATGAAACTGAGTTAGAGTGTTTTGGCCGCGAAGAACTTGACAGTTACCAATATATAGGTTTAATAGTTGACCGGCTCTATGAGGCAACGATGTGATCAGAGCGTAGGGACCTAAACCGCAGGTGCTCATGTATTCACAAGGGTTCTTCATTCGGACGTGGAAGGATCGTACAAATAACATCTTGCTGCTGACATCATCCCTACTACTTCTGTTATGACCTGCAAGTCCGTTTCCCTTCACCTAGGTTGATCTTGGTAAGGATAAGTTCCTTAGATAAGTTATCTCTTACATTCTTCCAAGGGATAGTGTTTTGAGTAACTGATAACCTTGTGAATCTAGAACATGACCCCTTTCGCTCATTTCTTTCAAAGATGGATTGTGATCAGCTGTGATCACAGCCGCCAAATACTTTATCTATATCTAATATAATACTGTGTTCCAGGGTACTTTCCTCCAATTAATCCATCTAATCAGTCCTCGGCGCGTTTTCTTCACCATCTATCAACAGCTATACGCATTTGACCGCAAAACCATTCATTTGTCCCACTTGCAATCGGGGGTTCTGTCAATCTCGATCACTGGAGAATCATCGACGCACAAACCATTCCAACACATTGTGGCCCACTGTGGTACAAAAACACGGAAAGTTTCACATTCAAGACAAAAGCCAACCTCAAAACACACTTTTATTTTAATGATGCTCCCATAGAGAATTTCAGTCAACGTACTAAACCTTCAAATGCACCTATTGGGACATGAATGTCTTTTCAGTTACAATGAACAACCAACACAAGAATTTTCTGCTAGTTCTTGCTCTGCTTGATTCAAGACACTCCAATGTCAGTGTTGGTCAACGTCCAACTCTCGACTGATTTACATGTTATGATAAGTCAAATACCGTTCAGAAATCTTATAGCTTAGCGAGTGCGTATGAATCCCTATCCTCTATGTACTGTTTGTCATAGCGTCGGACGGGTACCCTATTGAAGACCTGGTCTCCTTAGCGAAACACACATTTGATCACCTTAGTATAATAAGTCTCGACAAAGGGATATCTTCTGCTCAATGCAACTAGAGAGAATTCACGTCCTGACGGCGGCTTTCGTGGAGGGATAAAAATTAAGTTTCATTGCACATTTCGCCGACTCACTCGGGTTAACTGTGCTAATATATATTCATAATATTTGAATGTTCGACGCGGACTGTATCGTTTACGGTGTACAGTGCGATGATCCTACTATCCAGTAGAAAAACCACACTATAGTGAAACCTATCAACTCCTGGTGGGCGGATGGGTACGGACCATTATCTTCCGGTCAATACAGTGTTTCCCAACCTGTTGCCTTCTACAAACAGGGATCTGCCCCTTGCCCATGAGAAACTCCCTCTTTCTCGATCCCAAATGCTCTCCGTCCATTATATTTCTATGAAAAGCGCCAAGCCGTTTAAGGAGCTTCTGAAAATGTTGATTTTAATCATCCCGAACAGAGATAACCATTCTCAAGAAATCAGGGTAGTATAACAGCTGATGTGAACTTAGTTTGAGGACTAACTTCGAAGTGCAAGAGAGTGGTCCTGCATAAGACCACATGAAAGGCTGCATAATGCCTGTTTTCGCGACAAAATACATTCCATTTCCAAGTAGCACTGCATGATTAACTCTGAATATGATGTTGACTTCAGATGGGTTAAAGTGAGGAGAATATTTAGCTCTCTCCCTCTCATTTGAACAGTCAGTTCAGTATCGCCTGATAAGTCGGCATTGGAGTCGCGTTTTGTAGAGTTGATCATTAGTACGAACCCTAGGTCGTGCCAGGATTTGAAATTCAAACTTTTGACACGCGGGATCGTCAAATCGGTAGTGTGATTTTCCTGACTCCATGAATCGAGATTTACACCCGGTAAACTAAGATTTTCTGATTCGAATTTCATGGATTGATCCGTTGCGTTGAATGGGAACTTTAGTGGACCTACGCTTCTGAATATATTCAGTACATTATGCGCCACGTAAAGTGTTCACTAGCTCCAGTCTCACTAGCATCTCTGAGTGTTACTTAACTCTGCACATTCGTGAGTTGCTCACTACTGGTGTTTCCCAGTATGGATGGCACAACTGTGTGGTGCTCCTCGGATTCTTAACACAGATCGACTTCACTTATTTGAAGTCCCCTCAATTGATAACCAGTGTTTTCTTATTTTGCTTACAATCATGTGATCTGGGTGAAATAAAATGACGGAAGCAAGCGCTTCAACTATTTCCTTGTGTTATGAGGTGAAAAATGCCCCTTTTGAATACGGTTCGCAGTTGTACAGTCGGATGATATGACATTATTTTAACTCTGATAGTTTTCTCACAACTATTTCTTGGCATCTGAAAATAGAACCTGGAGTCTTTTTTTGGCACAATAAAACAAGGTCGTTTTAGCAGTGTCACAAGCCACTGTATTATTAGGATGAGTCAAAACTGAAGTCGTCACTTTCTTTAGTTTAAGTGTTTGTGAATATTCAAGTTGCATGTTAATAATGCAACAGATGTTCTGCCTGAAATACTGGGAACAGCTGTGAACAGCTATCTTAAACCTCTTGAGAACGGGTCTTCTTTGCGAGCCTCTGAGGTTACTTGTGTTGCATATGATCTGAGTGGAGTGAAGGAAAACAAACAGCTCTTGCGTCTTTGGTAACCCGTAAAGCTGATAAGAGTTGAAATCGGTCTGCTTCAGAGTTCGCTGATGCAAGTCCGAAGCAAAACCAAGCCGGTTGAATAGTGCAGTGATGTGCTATCTTTCTCGCTAGCGGGAACAGTATATTCAGTTGAGGACCTGCAGTGCGCAAAGGCATTTCCGTAAATTTAATGGAGTTTAGCTGGTCATCTTTGTACTAAGCCTGCCATTCAACAGTATACTCATTCTAGATCACCATGGTAGTACCACATTTAATCAACATCAGCCAAAGAATGGTCTGCTCCGGCCTCTACTGTACTGAGCAAGTTTGCTCTCATACCGTGAGGTGAAAGCAATGATGGTCATCGAAATACTGGTCTTCTACCCAGTAATCCAGTTTCAGATTAAATGACGGGGTGTTGGAAGTCCCCAAAGGCAAATGCTATGGTAGTTTATTCAGGAGAAGTGCGCGTCTCCGTTGAAGGTTGGATGGACTGACGGATAAGGCCAGCTCCCTGGAGTTGAAAAGCCGATTCGGGTGTTCACTACAATACCACCATGCTTAGACAGACTGGTGACTCTGAGAAGGCCACGGCATGGTAGCCTGTCGACCGCAGTCCCTCGGGTTTAGCGGTTTAGCACCACAGACAGCTCCTTCCAAACCTATTATGGTTTACTTATTGTTCACAACCGTCCAGCGGGTCAACCACGCTTGTCCGGGATTTCCGTTTCAGATGCCAGCCAGCCATAGAATGGCAATACATCGTTATGACCACTTTATGGTGAATTCTGATCACACGGCCGAAATTGCGCATGGTGAGGAAAAATGCTTAGCTTCTATACTCAAAAAACCATAAAAATTTCATCAATCATGAAGCACTCAGTTGTGTCAAAGCTAGATCTGTCAACCTTGGTTACCAGACTACCATTTCTCCCGATTATTAGTGTGTTCTTTTACGAAAGCACATATTGAGGCTTTCCAGGAAAGCAGGCAGAGCTTTCGGATTCAGATCACACATTTCCTAGAATAAACATTCGGCTTATTCCAAATTGTCCAGTCGCTTTCAACAACCGGGGACCGACCATATGAAAAATATATTCACGGGTTTGCTATATGGTATTCAAAGACAAGGGGAGTGATCGAAGACTGGAGCCAAGGTAGACAGATGTTCTGATTAATTTGCTTTTATGCTCACAGAACCGGCTGTCTCACTTTATTCAATACAGCGTCGCCGAACGTTAGCATCTGGGTGTTTGAATTCGCGTTAGAAGAACAAATACTGGTCTAAAGTCAAAGTAATGACCTGTGACCTGCACATACGGTCATACGGTCAATAATGCTGTATGCATGTTTTATGGGGACGTTGAAATCGGGTCTTCGGGTAAAGGCCGCCACGGAATTCGCAATTTACCTAGCGAAATGGCTGGGCTGGACGTACAAATTGAACAGTTTAGTTGGTAGTAAAATTCCGAGCTGCAATTTCAGACGCCAATCGTTTAAAACCAAGGTTATTGGGCTGGTAAATCTCAGCACTTGTTCGTTTCTTTGAAATTTTAGAACACTGAAGAAAGCGAGCCAGGTTCCTACCAGAGGCCTTTGAATATAAACCGTTAAGGTCTTACAAGTTCTGGTTATAAGTCACGGAGAAATTCGGTTACTGATAACTCCTAAAACTTTTCAGTGACGCCCATAACGTCTTAAGTGACAGCCTGAATTCCTTGACGTTGAGAAAGTGGTGGGATTTCCAGGTGGTCTAAGCTCATTGTGGAAATCTGAAGAGACAAATAAAAACAGAGCCCCATGTTGTTGATAATTTACTTAGGGTTCACATACAGTTTGCTTTAAACTACAATGTTAGTATTATTCAAGTCATATGACGTAT